TATTTCAGGTAGGATTTTAGGGAGAGGTTTTTTTTCCGGCCTGGTCCCTCTCTCTGTCCCAAGAGAGCACAACAAAGAGACACAAACAACCCCTTTCCCCTCCCACCCACATCCCCCGATTTGAAAGTATCTTCTTTCCTTATTGGTCCTTTTGGTCAGGTTATTTGCGCTTCTTAACCCCTTACAAGTAAAGGAGGGATTTTATGCTACCCTTAGCTGTATGTTTATGACAACGTCAGTATAGGAGGGAGAACAATGTGTCTTAGAATAGGTAGGGGAAACCTGCCCTGAAATTTGAGAGACTGATGAGTCCTCTTCCACATACTCATAGCTGTTCAGCTTGCAGAGTAGATGAGGGCAATGTGGTGTTCTAGGTGATAGCGGGATCGGTGATCAAGAGACTCTTGACAACTGACTAATCCGCAGCACTTGTTAACAGAGGAGATTCTGGCTCAGAAGGTATTATCAGATCCTATGGGTACCTAAACTCTTGAGATACTGACGGTATCAAAGATTGGGCTGAGTGGGAACCTATGGAGGATGGCTTCAGTACTGTTGCAGCTGGCACCGAGCACTTGTTATGGGATTCCCTCAGTACTGTAGGTAGGTGAGCAGTCTTTGGTCGTGTTTATTTTCTTGTTATTTGTACTGAGTGTTGTTTAGGGACAGAGGTGGTCTTTTCAACCCAGGGCAGAGTTAAGTAAGGTTAACTGGCTGTGACTGGTGTCTACTGATGAGCACAGGTGATTTGTAGGGGAATGGAAAGTCTGCATGCTCCTTTCTAACTGAGCAATTTGTATCAATTCTGTGAGAGGCAGAAACAGTTTCTTTAAAAAAAATCCAATTTTAAACAGGAAAACCATGTAAAATAGGGAAATTCCTCTCTAACTCCATTATGGCTGATGGAAATCACCTTAGGAAATCCTTACTGTGCTTAAATTTTGTTGCAATATTTGATGGAACTGTAAGATCTATTTAAACAACAGTCTACAGTGATAAGAACAAAAGAACGGCCATAATGGGTCAGACCAAAGGTCCATCTAGCCCAGTGTCCTGTATTCTGACAGTGGCCAATGCGAGCTGCCCCAGAGGGAATGAACAGAACAGGTAATCATGAAGTGATCCTTTCCCTGTCGCTCATTCCCAGCTTCTGGCAAACAGAGGCTAGGGACACCATCCCTGCCCATCCTGACTAATAGCCATTGATGGACCTATCTCCTCCATGAATTTATCTAATTCTTTTTTGAACTATGTTATAGTCTTGGCCTTCACAACATCCTTTCGCAAAGAGTTCCACAGGTTGACTGTACGTTGTATGAAGAAATACTTCCTTTTTGTTTGTTTTAAACCTGCTACATATTAATTTCATTTGGTGACTCCTAGTTGAATCTTATTCTGTGAAGCTGAGGAATATTGACATAATTAATATTTATGAACTCTTTGTCATATTTGCTGTACTGCTGCAAACTGATTTGACAATACTTACCTAAGTAAAGCAGTTAATAATTTTGTCTTTGCTTTTTTAAAACCAGAGAAGAAAATTATTTTTCTATAAATATTTTAATAAAATTTATTGTCTGTCATTTTCAACAAAAGCATTCCAAAAAAATGAGATGCCTTGTCTAAAATTCTGAAGAAAGTGATTTTTCTCAAGATATAATTTTACAACTACCTAATTACTTAGGAATGCAAAAGAACTTTAAAAAATTCAAACGTATTCAGATTTATCATTTCCATTACTTTTCTCCAAAAAAAATTCAAGTCAGAACACAATTAGGTGGTTACAAAAGTCCCATAACATTTTTTGTCAACTGCAATGATCTGTCACTATGGTTCTAGAGTACATCAATATAATATCATCATAGAATCATTGAGTGTAAGGCCAGAAGGGCCCACCACATCACAGGCCACCAACATCACCCAGCCATCCACACACTAAACCCGACAGACAAAAGTATTACAATATATCTACACCTATAACATATAAACATTTCATAGTGATACAAAGATCTGAACCATCTATTTCAATAAAACTCACTCTCTTGCCAGTTCCCCTGCCCACTGGTGGATGTGCTTCAGCAGCTTGTCGAATTGTACACACCATCAGCTCAATCAGAGCACTCTCTTGTCGGTCAGACATTGCTGTGGAGAAAGAAAAGGAAAGTAGATTTGATCAACTGTATTAAGGTAATCATATACATGGTGATTTTATGGAATGCATGCACAAAATGTAGTAAACTAGTCAATGGTAAAACTTTCAAGAGTACCTAAGTGATTTAGAAACTGTAATCCCATTTTCAAAAAGGGGTCTAGGGCCTGATTTTCAAAGGCATTTAGGATCTTAATGATGCAGAGAGGAGCCTAATGAGATTTTTAACAAGCACCCATTGATTTAATTAGGAGTTAGGTGCCTGGGTGCTTGTGAAATTCTAATTAGGCACCTAAATACCTTTGGACCTAAGGTCAATGTTGAAAATGGGACTTAGGTACTTCTGAAAGTTCTACCCTGAGGCTAAATGTTAATTTAGGACACAATCTATTCAGACCCATTATATAAGCTTTTCAAAATAATCTATTTCACTATTATCAGAAATTCCTGGTTTAACAGATTTTAAGGCCAGAGGGGACCATTATGATCTTTTACTCTGACCTCCTACAGAACATAAGCTACAGAGTTCTATCCAGTGGTTCCTGCATCAAGCCCATAAGTTCTGGTTGAGCTAGAAATCTTTTAGAAAAGCAACTGGCTTTGATTAAAATACTTTAAGTGATGGAAAATCCACCACACTCCCTTAATTGATTGTTCCAGTGGTTAATTAAACTCACTATAAAATTCATAAATTATTTCCATTTGGACTTTATCTAGCTTCACCATCCACCCATTGTACTTTGATGTGTGTTTTTCTTCAAGATTAGTAGGCCCTCTACCATCAGAGATCTTCTCCTCGTATAGGCACTTGTAGACTGTAATCAAGTCAACTGTCTCGTTTACAAGCAAAATAGATTGAGATCCTTAAGTCTCGCATCCTATTGCAGGTTTTCCATTCTTCAAATAATTTTTCTGAATCCTCTCCAATTTTTCAACATCCTTTTAAAAGTGTGGATGCTAGAAACCACGAATCCCACATACATGGGTAAAATAATCTTCCTACTCCTGCTTGAAATTTCTACTTATATGTCCAAGGATTGCATTAGCCTCCTTAGCCACAGCATTGCACTGGGAGCTCAGGTTCACTTAGTTAGCCATTATCACCCCAAGTCCTTTTCAGAGTCACCGTTTTTCATTATATTGTTCCTACCTTGTAAGGATGGCCTGCATTCTTTGTTCCTATATATATATGCCCTTGCATTTGGTTGTATTGAAACGAATGTTGTTTGATTGTGCCCAGCTTATCAACTTACCCAGATTACTCTGCAACAATGACCTGTCCTCCTCATATTCATCCCCTGACCAATTTTTGTCATTTGCAAACTTTTAGCAAGGATCATTTAATATTTTCTTCCTGACCACGGATAAAAATATTAAATAGCACTGGGCCAATGACTAATCCTTGTGGGATCCCACTAGAAACACACACATTCAATAACAATTCACCATTAACAATTACATTTTATGATCAGTTAGCCAGCCTCTAATCAATTTAGTATGTACTACACTGATTTTGTAGAATGCTAGTTTTTTTAAATTAGCATGTCCTGCAGTACTAAGTGAAATTGCTTACAAGTACAACATAGTCCAGCAACTTTACCAAGAAAGCTTGCACTCTCATCAGTGATATCAAGTTTGTTTAACAAGATCCATTTTCAATAAAATTAATACCATTCAACATGGATTTATGATCTGTTCCTGCCTTCATGGCTGAATTTTAGAGCAGCTGTACCATATTTCTGTGATCAAAGTCAGGGTAACAGACCTGTTCATCACCTTTACTCTTTTAAATAACAACACATTAGCCTTTGAAATACTAAAGCCACTGGAGCTCTGCACCAGCACAGGTGTCTGTCTGAATGGGGCCTTTGTGTAGTCTAGTGATCACAGCAGTGTACTTAGAGCAAAAGCTCCCAGCTTCTATTCCTGATCTTGCCACTGAATTGGGTAACTTTAGGCAAGTCGCTTAACTTTACTGTGCCTTGGTTTACCCCATTTAGAAAAAGCTATTACAACAGTGATCAATATTATTATTTCAAATTTATAATAATGCAGCCATCAATGTTCTGCACCAATGTGTTTTTTCTTTTAGTTTTTATGTTTATTTTATATTAAAATGATGATGATGATAGGTAGGATTTTCAAAAAGCACCTAAATAATTTAGGAATTGGGAGGGTGGGACACAGGGAGAGTGTGCCTAAGTCACTTAAGCACTTTTACATTTCTTGCTCGTCGTGTTTACCAGGATTAGATTTTAAGAGCTTGGATTTTATAAATAATGTGATAGATGATTATACCTAAAAAACATAACTGACTTTTGAAACAAAATTTTTTGGTTTTGGAATTTCCAAGGTTTATATAATGTTTTATATTTTGGTTTCTTCAGGTAAATGAAGGTAGTTTAAAAATATAAACAATTTAAATTAAAAAAGTAAGTGGTGAAGCTAACAACGATTCCTGCTAAGCACTTACTCTTTCAGTGCACATCTGACACGATATTCTTGTTCTTTCCCCACGTATGTCAATTAGATATGAAAGTGTGAACAGTAAAGTCTATTTTCACTACTCACTAAATAGCAATAGCAAATTAAGCATCAAATCCAAAACTAGAAGCCAGGTCTCCTGCTTCCAAAGCCTTTGATACACCCATTAGGCCACAGTGTTTTAGTTAACCTATCAAATTATGTCACTGAAAATATTGGGCCTGAATTCTCTACTGCCTTGCATATTTCACCCACCTTTTACTCATTTTACACAGCTATAAATGTCCACAAAAGGTGCATGGCAGTGAAAAATTAGGCTGAAAGGGAGTGAATTACAGTATTCTACACCAAATTACTCCATTGATTTGTATGCCTGTATTTTGGACTCACCTAGTGCTTCTTCACCTGTAGCCATCAAACCACTTTACAAATGAGGTTATGAATTATTACATACATTTTACTAACTAAGGGCAGAGATCTGAACAGATTTCTAAGAGTCACTGTGCTCTAGTGTATAAACTCCATAGATCTTGCCACCTCAACGACCAGTGTGACTTGTGCCAGATTTGCTACAAATTTACTAATTATAACTTTTGGCAAGTCATTAGCTCTATTCCTCAGCTACCCAACCTGGAAAACTGACCCTGCATATTTGCACCAAGCCATGTGGATATTTTATGGGGAATGTACAAAGATAAGCCATATTTCTTGACTTAGGATTTTCCCTTCACTTTTGAAAAGTAGCCTCAGCAAGTCTGGAGGTTAATGATATTCTCTGCTACCCCTTTTTCTCCATCATTTTCATTGGCAGAAAATCATGTCTATTTTCTGGCAATTCCTTAAACATTTTGTAGACTTAAGACCAGTATGGACCACTGTGATTATCTAGTCTGATCTCTGCATAAAACAAGCCAAATACTTCAGTGATTTCTGCATCAAGCCAACAACTATATCTGGAGCATGTCTTAAAAAAATCCAATTTTAATTAAAAAAAAAAAGTCAAGTGTTGGAACACTGATCACATCCTATGGTAATCTGTTCCAATGGTTCCATAACACACTAATCATTAATATTCTTGCATGATGTATGTATGGTAAATGCCCAAAGGACCATACAAATATGAAGGAAATATGGGACTAAATTGTGTTTAAATCAGACAAATTAGGGGAGTGTGAAAACAGTTTTTTCCAGACAAAGGAAAAACAAGACCTCCATCCAGTTGCAATCACGGACAATTAACAAACACTGGCATATCTGAGGTTGCAGGGACAGATCAATTTGCATTGTAGGAAGCACCAGTGGGGAAGAAATCAGCATGGAACCTCCTCCTCCAAACTCAATGGCACCTTTCCTCACATCAGGGGCACTGGACTTTGAGAGGGATACATTTCAAAAGTTCACAGGATTATAAAAGAGAGGGACAAAGAACCCTAAGTTACATTTTCACCTAAGATGACAAAGGAACTGAGCATTTTGGACTTTGTACGAGATTCTGACCAAGGATGTGGTCAGCCATTTTACTGGAAGAAAGTGTAGTAAGAATCTTACCTTGAACCAAGATTGAAGTCATTAGAAAGCATTTTTCACTTTTATTCGCTTGTAATCATTTTTGACTTTCTTCCTTACACTTGAATTCACTTAGAATCTTCTCTCTTTTTGCCAATAAACGTTTTACATTTAATCTAAACCAAGCCAGTGCTGTGTTCGAACTGAAGTGATTGTTATCTCCAGTTAAAACAACAAACTGCTTTGTTTTTGTCTCTTTAATGGAGCAACTTTTACTTCCCTAAAAGTTCCAGTAGAAGGCTGGACATTTCAGGGCAGACGGTTTGGGGGAAATCTGGGACTGGGGATGTGTTGGGATCACTTAGTTAGTAGTAACCAAGGCTGAGGGAGATCAGAGTGTGGCTATGATGTAACAAGCAGGGTGCTGAAGTCAGAGATGCTGAACCAGGGCTGCTTAAAACACAGATACTTAGTGCATGTTTGTATGGTGACTGGGAATGTCCAGACAGGGATCTCCATAATCAGTGCATTTTAGGGCACTCAGGATTACAGGACAAGCGGTGACAACCTCTCACTGGTCTGGGTTACACCTCAAAATGTTACATAGGCTGCCCCTACATGTATGTATTTGGTAAATACACATGGGGCTGAGAATAGGCCAAAGGGGAGTAATGTGTATTGATAATGCTGACCTGCCACTACAAATCTCAGAACATTTCTGTTGGTTGGGAAAAATCACTACATGGAAATATGCATCCTGAAAATGGAGGGCAGAAAACCAGTTGTTTTGATCTAATATGGAGATAATTGTAGCAAGGTTACCATACATAATCTCATATACTTGATGTACTTGTTGAGACCTTGGAGGTTAGAATAGATCTCACTCTTCCCTTGGACTTGTGAATCAGGAAATAATGTAAGTAGAATCCCTTTCCTCGATGCTGAAGGGAAACTTCTTCTATGGCTCCTAAAGCAAGCAGAGTCTGAATCTGCTGAAGAAGCAGAGACTCATGACAGAGCTCCCTGAAAAGGGATGAGGTAGGAGGTGAAAAGGGCAGGAATTGGATGGCATATCCCTATCCCACAATGCTTAAGATCCATTTGTACATAGTTACTGTTTCCCAAAACCTGTAGAAGCAGGATAGCCTGTCCCCAAATGGATGGGATATAATCAGGAAATTGACGAGCGGTATGCTGTCCTCGAAAGGAGAATCAAATTGGCTGCTTGCCCAAGGCTGCAGAAGAAACTACCACAGCTGAACACTCCTGAATTAAAAAAAGAGGTAGAGCAAGTCTGATGTTGCCTGATAAGACTGTGGGATCAATATGGTTGATGCTGAGACTGATGTTTTTGGTACTGAACTTGAGGGATGACCCGCAAATAGTACCAGAGTCGACTGTGTGGTGATTAATTGATCTTGTCTCAATACAAGAAAGCAGGTAGACAGCCCTGCTTTATCCTGCATACTCAACCAATCCGGATTATGGCCTGCACTTTTTTTTTAGAAGAGGAGGAATCTCTCCACACTCTGGAATGGCTCCGATCAGTCTTGTAAGTCCTCTTCCTCAGAGGACAAGAAGAAGAATGATCTCTTCTCCTCAGAGAAGAGTCAGAGTATGGCTGGGCAACAGCAGCCTGTGTTGCCCTGGATTTGAGGGGTGTATAGACCCCACGATGTGATCAAGCCAATTGCAACCATATTATGTGCATTCAGCCACCATGAATTAATGAAATAGAACAGAAAGTGAAATAGAAAGAAGTGGAGCACAGCTCTATTGCATGAATCCCAGCTGGCATAAGATAGATCTGGCCCTTAGCTTGTACTGGGGCCAGTGCATGGTCCACAAAATCAGGGAGCATACTCCTGGATGGCCCCTCCTGAGTGGATTTCATCACAGGAGAGAAACTGAACTTAGCAACGGTTCTTAGTTGTAAACCAAAGAGCAATATGTTAATATTCATTAACAGATTGTTCGGATTGTAGACTTCCTAATGACACTGTCAGAAAAACCAATAGAGGAATTCAATGAGATACAGAAGAACTGTATTTGGAAAGTATTGTCTTTCAGGCTTGACAAAAGTCTATTGTTAACATATATTCCCATGATGGTATGCACAAACACAGGCATCTATTCTTATTTCATTCATTACACTAGATTCAGCAAAGGAATTCAGCAGCAAGATTCCATTCTCCTCCTCTCCCCCCCTTTTCTCAACATAGCTGTTTTTTGCAATATAATTGTTGTTCATAAAGCAATGTTTTATATAAACCCCTAAATTCAATAATTATCACTTGAAGTATTGGCTCTATTCAAAGCCATATTATTATTATAATTACCCAGTTTAAAGTGCCCAATAACATGCTACTCACATCACTGTTCAGATAAGAAAAGAAGGTGCTGACCTCTAACTGCAGACAATGTCAGAATGAAGGAGGCAAGAAAACAGTAAGATGAAAACTAGTGAGCGATTAGTAATGCCATTGTTTCAATTAAATATGAAACAAAAAAACCTTGTCTCTTTGATCACTGTGTCTTGAGAACGCATTAAGGCAGTTCCCATTCAATGTGCTGCCTTCTACTTGAAAATTTGCATTAACCCCTCCCAAAAAATCAGATTAATTAAAATATAATATCTCCATTTTGCGTATCACTTCTAAATGTAGGATAGGAAACAGACATTCATATAATCCAAAGATTAACAGCATTTTTATTAAGAATTAACCGTATTTTATTACATCAATTTAATGTATTTAATAAAATGACACAAATACCTTCTTCTCCTTGAACTGGTTCTTCCAGTAGCAATTCTGTCATGCACTCCCAATCCTTCAGTAGTTCTTGAGAGCTCTCCCACAAACTATCCACTAAGTAAGCTGCATGTTCGTGCAACTAGAAATAACAAGTCAAATGTCAATAAAGCTTTCTGGTTCAAACATGGCTTCATCAACTATTATAATGGTTTGAGTGAGGACAGTGTTCTTGTATCACTAAGAAGGAAAACTACATTTGAAATTAATGTTGGAAGGTCCACTTTCCAACAAAAAGACATGTAACTGCATAACCAGAGTGAAACTTTTATTTTATGGAAAGGGTGAGTGGAGTGGGAGAAAGAAATGAGGGTTCTTTTCTGATATAACACTCTACTTGCAGGTGTCTTCCAAGTCAAGGCTTATATCATGACATGAGAAGAATCATAGAATCACAGGGTTAGAGGGGACTGCAAGGGTCATCTTGTCTAACCCGCAATCCCATTAGAATGCTTGTCACACTTTTCTGTAGAGTTAAGGTGTCATAATAGTGGACATGCAGGGGGGATGGAACATTCTATCAAGATGTTTATTTTTCTTTTATTAACAGTATGTAATAGGCATAGGGAATTTCATGTTAGTTTTAATATAGTATACATCTTAAGTATCATAATATATACTGTAATAATGAAAAATTACACAACAGTGTTCATTCAACATAACACTTTACAACTATACTGCTAAAAGTTTAAAACTAATGAACTACTGTTTAACAACATAGCTCAACAACAGCAACTGGACCTGATATATTCATCTAAGAAATGTTTAAAAATGTTAGGAGGGAGGGCACTATTTATGGACAAGAAATTATTATAAAGATTTTTCAGTTTGTGTGGAGACCTATCCATTTTTCAGCATTGACATGGAACAGGAACCAAATAGCTATTGAATGTAGCTCTGAGATCTGGATACATAATGCACAATACTTTCAAAACTGCTCGGCATTGGCCTAACTCGCGTCTTACTTAAAATAATGGTAAAACTCTCATTTACCTCAATGGGCACAGAATTAAGTCAATGTTGAGTGTTTCTGAAAATCCCATCAGAAGTTTCTTTATAATAATAGCATTCAGTTATACTGAGAAAAATCATTCTGGAAAGAATAGACATTAGCTTCCACTGACTTGTAAGACAATCATGAACTACTATCAACAAGTAACACCACAGCATGCTGATTTAACTAATTACCAAGTAATGGTGCTGAACCTGGCTTTAGGGACCAAGGCTAGAGTTCTATGAGCTAAATTCTCTCTCCTCAGTGAGGAGGGACAAGGCTGGCACTTTGTAATCTCTCTGAGATTCAAGGGAGCAAAGCACATTGGGAACTGAAGCTCATCATGGCTGCCATAACAGTAGACCTAGCTTCCAGCAAGGTCTGATGGAATGTGAGGAATGTATAAGAACAGCACCTTTGACAGACCAGGGGAGAGACATAGAAAGAATCAGGCTCTAGAGGCCTCTCTCCTGGAAGAAGCAAGCAAATAAACCCATTTCCTTATATTTTTATTTTTCAATGATTTTTGCTGTAATTACTTTGAGGCACATATTCACATTTTTCTGAGCATTCTGTTAGTGTCCTTCTGGCAGAGCCTCCTCCTCCCTTCTGCTTTGTGTGCAGGTTACCCAAGATTCTGCCCTTAGACCTTTCTCTTCTCACTGTAAACCCTGTCTCTGGGAGATCTCATCAACCCACCTGGCTTCAGCAATCATTTTATGCCGAGGACACATACATATCTCTCTCCACCACAAACCAAGATGAGATATGGCAATCTACTCCACATAGGGCTATGCTTCAAAACCTTCCAGTGGCAGAAACCAGTGTAGACAGCAGTGGCCCACGTTATAAGTTAAGTATCTCACTAAAGGCTGCACTCATGGCTCCTTGATCCCCAGTGACTACTTGTGGCTTTCTGGGAGATGTTAACACCCATCAGACTACATTCAAATCTTTCCCCTTCTGACTTCTCAATATCGCTAAGATCATCTGTTTCTTTCCACTCCCACAACCAAACCTCTTGTACAAGCCGTCATTATATCCTACCTATGCTACTGCAACACCCTCCTTTTTGGCTTCTCAAACACAAACATTGCCCTTCTTTGTCCACAGATTTGATCATGTCATTCCCCTCTTCCAATCCCTCCTTTGTTATCTACTTACTATTGAATCAAGCTTCCTGTCATCATCTTCAAAGCTCTCCACATTTCTGTCCCTCCCTTTTCAAATTTCATTCTGCCTCTATCCCTCCACTCCACCAATGTTCCCAGGCTTGTCTGTTTGTCAGCTTCTTACAGTCACCTCCAAGCTTTTGATCACGCAACTTCCTATACATGGTACAACCTTCCTGAACCCATCAGAAGGCTGCTACCCAATTCATATTTAAGTCCCCTTTAAGACCAATTTCTGCTGTGCAGCTTACAGTGAATGGCATTGATTTGTACATACATTGCCTTGTTTTTGTTCTCCTGTTACTATATTCTGCCTAGTAGTCTGTCTATCTATCTTTAGATTGTGAGCTCCCTGGAATAGGCACCAGACTTCTTTAATGTCTGGAAAGTGACTAGCACACATTTGGTGTGACCATTAGATAAATAAATAAATAAATGCCTTCAAAGAGCATCTGGAAGACACTCAAGCTGTGAGACTTCAATTAGATTTTGTTCTCTTTTGTGACTGGTTAAAATAAAGTTACCCAGAAAATATGATTGCTTCCTTTTTTTAAAGCACATTCCACAGACTCATTCTTTTATAGTTTGTCCTGCAATAGGCACCACCAAAATATACGTTCTGGTGAACTATAGTAGCCAGAGTGGGGAGAGCGGAGTTGATTACACTGAAGCCAGGCAAGAGTAAAAGAAATCCTAGGGAGGATATTGGTTTGAGTTTACTTTACGGACAAGGAGAAGCGGATCAAATTCATATGGTGTCACTAGCATTAAAACCTGTTTGTAAAAGTTGATCAATCACCTTAAATAAGTTTCATGTTTTGCTAAATATATAAAATTGATATCAGAATTGTTTTTACCTCACTTTCAAGAAAGAAAAGAACCAACATCCTAATGAGGTTCCCATTTGGACTGTTCCGTCCTCTCCTCTTCGCTAATGCTTCTTCTGCCTGGGGGTCATGCCTGCTGAACAGTCTAGAAATAAGTAACAGGAGTTATAATATTTATATTAAACAGCTTTGTTTGCTCAACATTATGGCTAACATGTTAATTCATAAAATACAATTAAAAAAAACAAAAAACATTCCCCTCAATAAACAAACAAACTGCAGTTGTTCAGCTCCACAGGGCCAGAAGCACTTCACACAATGAAAAAATTATGAAATGTACTGGTGTAAAATGTTTGTATTATAGCTGGTATTTTAAAGTTTTAAGTCTTGTGATGGTATGGCTATCTTGCTGAAAAACAATGTTATTGTGACACTACCAATTTAAGAACTAACTGTAGGAGGCTCTAAACTGGATTGCAGCCAGCTTTAACAATCATAAATTGAACTCAAGTATTTAAGCAAAATGCTAACTATGAAAGGAGGCTGTTTTCCCCCCACCACTACTGACCTTTATTTCATAAAAATATTGAGGATAAAAATGAGTTACAGTCCAACCTTTGTATGTTTTTTAATCTTCACTTTTACTTAGTTTTGTGCACATTGGCTGGGTGTGGCTGCAACTGAACCTTGTCCTAGTAGATGACCGCGTACAGCGGTTCTGGTCTACACTACGCGGTTATTTCAGAATTAGCCGAGTTAATTCAAAATAAAACGGATTCCGTCCACACGACCAAAATGTTTTTTTTTTCCGATTTAAAGAGCTCTTTAATCAGATTTCTGTACTCCACCTCAGCAAGTGGAGTAACGCTAAATCGAGATCGTAGTTCCGGGTCACAGGTACTGTGGATGCAATTCAACGTTATTGGCCTCCGGGAGCTATCCCAGAATGCTCCCTTGTGACCGCTCTGGACAACACTCTCAACTCTGATGCTCTAGCTAGGTAGGCAGTAAAAGCCCCGGGAACTTTTGAATTTCATTTCCTATTTGGTCACCATCAGCGCAGGTGACCATCAGCACAGTCCACCATCACAGGCGACCATGCAGAGTCCACCATCACAAGACGACGCAGTCCCAGGTTCGCAGACAAGCTCCAGCATGGTCCAAATGGGAGGTACTGGATCTCATCGCATGTTGGGGACACAAATCTGTTATGGCAGAACTACGTTCCAAAAAAAGAAATGCAAATACTTATGCTAAAGTCTCCAGGGCCATGACGGAAAGAGACTACTCCAGGGACACAGAACAGTGTCGTACAAAAATCAAGGAGCTCAGGCAAGTGTACCAAAAAGCCAGGGAGGCAACCAGGTGCTCTAGGTCACAGCCCCATACATGCCACTTCTACTGTGAGCTGCATGCAATTATGGGGGGTGACGCCACCACTACCCCATCACTGTCCATGACACCTGAAAGGGGGGAGTTGCATGGAGCGAGGAGGATGAGTTATTGGAGGACGAAGAGAAGGAGGAGTAGGATAGCACACAGGTGGCAAGTGGGGAATCCAACTTCCCCCTAGCCAGGAACTATTCTTAACGCTGGAGCCAACAGCCTCCCCACACTCCCAAGGCGGGCTCCCAGACCATGACCCTGGAGAAGGCACTTCTGGTGAGTGAGAGCCTGATGGAGCCACGTGGTGGGGGCAAACCCAGCTGCGCTGGACTGTTCGCGTTTAGTTTAAAGGGCTCATCCCTGTTCAGAGCCTCATCGGAGCCACGCGGTGGGTGCGGGGGGAGGGTGCAGGGGGAAGGGGGTGCGCTGTGTGAAACAATCATCCCAGAGAGCCCGCAGGCCCTTTTATATGGCAAACCCACCAGGCATTGCTTGCTATGGGAAAGGGGGCCTGGCAGTTTGAAAGCACTGAAATGAATGCGGAAGAAGCAGAACCCTGCGTGCCCCTATGGCTTACCATGGCTACCTGCAAGCTGAATTCTGTTGCCTGGCCGCGTATGATGGCTTACTCACACCAAAGTGGCAGGCACTCAGTATAAGAGGCAAAATGCGACCTTGTACAGAAAGAACATGTACTATGTACTATGAATTGCCTGTTTCACTGAGAAAGTGTCGCCCCTTTGTTCTCTAAAATGTATCTTTTAAAATACTACCTCCCTTTTTCTCCTCCCGCAGGTGCAAATGTTACAATGCAGCCCCTATCTACTCTGTCCCAGAGGCTGGTTCAGATTAGAAGGTGGAAAAAACTAACTCGGGACGACATGTTTGCCGAGCTTATGCAGTCCTCCCGCACAGATAGGGCTCAGCTGAATGCGTGGAAGCAAACAATTGCGGAGTACCATAAAGCGTTAAATGAACATGAAGAGAGGAGGGACTCATGCAATGAGAGCAGGCAGGATGCTATGGTCAAGCTCACGGGGGAGAAAACTGACATGCTCCGCTGTATGGTGGATCTAATGCAGGAAAGGCAGCAAGACCACAGACTGCCGCTGCAGCCCCTGTATAACCGCCCTCCCTCCTCCCCAAGTTCCATAACCTCCTCACCCAGACACCCAAGAACACGGGGGTGGGGAAGGCTACGGGGACTCTCACACTCAACCCCAGGGGATTGCACAAGCAGCAGAAAGCTGACATATGCGAACTTTTGATTTAGTTTCTGGACTTGTCCTTCCCTCCTCCTCCACCCCCCTAACCCAATACCCCCCACCCCACTCCCCTGGTCTACCTTCTGATTTCTCTTAGTGAGTTGTGCAACAAATAATAAAGAACGGTTTTTAAACAATTGTGATTTTATTTCCTTTCATATATATATATATATATATATAGGGGGCGGGTAACTTCAAGAGAAACAAACACAACTGTCACACCATACCCTGGCCAGTCATAAAACTGGCTTTCAAAGCTTCTCTGATGCGCAGCGCGCCCTGCTGCGCTCTTCTAATCGCTCTGTTATCTGGCTGTGCGAAATTGGCCTCCAGGCGAGTTGCCTCAACCTCCCACCCTGCCATAAACGTCTCCCACTTACTCTCTCAGATATTGTGGAGCACACAACAAGTAGCAATTACAATTGGAATATTGGTTGTGCTGAGATCTAACAGAGTCAGTAAACTGTGCCAGTGCACTTTCAAATGTCCAAAAGTACATTCTACCACCATTCTGCACTTGCTCAGCCTATAGTTGAACTGCTCCTTACTACTGTCCAGGGTGCCTGTGCATGGCTTCATGAGCCATGGCATTAAGGGGTAGGCTGCGTCCCCGAGGATAACTATAGGCATTTCAATATCCCAAACAGTAATTTTCTGGTCTGGGAAGCAAGTCCCTTCCTGAAGCTGTTCAAACAGACCAGAGTTCCTGAAGATGTGAGCGTCATGCACCTTTCCCGGCCATACCACGTTGATGTCAGTGAAACATCCCTTGTGATCCACCAGTGCTTGCAGCACCATGGAAAAGTACCCCTTGCGGTTTATGTACTGGCCGCCCCGGTGTTCCAGGGCCAAGATAGGGATATGTGTTCCGCCTATTGCCCTGCCACAATTAGGGAACCCCAGCGCATTAAAGCCATCCACAATGGTCTGCACATTTCCCAAAGTCACTACCCTTGATAGCAGCTGGTCAATGATTTCATTGGCTACTTGCAGCACAGTAGATTTGCCCACTCTAAACTGATTCCCGACTGACCTATAGCTGTCAGGCATTACAAGATTCCACAGGGCTATTTTGGCCACTCACTTCTCAACTGTGAGGGCTGCTCTCATTTTGGTGTCTTTGCGCTTCAGGGCAGGGGACAGCAAGTCACAAAGTTCCATGAAAGTGGCCCTACACATACGAAAGTTTTGCAGCCACTGGGAATCATCCCATACCTGCAGCACTATGCGGTCCCACCAGTCTGTGCTTGTTTCCCGGGCCCAGAATCGGTGTTCCATGGCATGAACATGGCCTAATGCCACCATGATCTCCCAATTGCCACATGCCATGCTTCTAAGAATGTCTGTGTCCATATCCTCATCAGTATAGTAATCACGCTGTCATCGCTTCCTCGCCCGGTTTTGCAGGTATTTCACATACTGCTGGATAATGCACGAGGTATTTACAATGGTCAAAACTGCAGTGGAGATCTGAGCGGGCTCCATGCTTGCCGCTCTATGGCGCCTGCACGGATAATCCTGGAAAAAGGGTGCGAAATGTAGGAGAGCAGAGTGGCAGCGGAAGAGGTGCTGTTTGGTTCACGATAGCTGAAAAAAGGTGGGAAATGGTTGTCTTCTGTAGCTTTCACGGAGGCGGGAGACCAGGACAGACAACATGGAGAAGTTCAGTAGCGCGGCAAGAGCGGGAGAGCAGAGTTGGCGGCGGAAGCTGTGCTGCTCGGTTCACAATGGCTGAACAGAGTTGGCAGCGGAAGCGGTCGATGAGGAAGAGAAAGAGTAGATACTTATGGAGATTACATAGAAAGATGAGAGGAAATGCGAGGTGGATTCATAGTACCAGGAGAGAAGCGGTGCACCGTACTGCACCGTCTGCTGAAAGCAGTATGGCGTCTGCACGCCAAAAAGGCGCGAAACAATTGTCTGCCATAGCTTTCATGGAGGGAGGAGCGACTGATGACACACACCCAGAAACACCCGCGAGAATGTTTTTGCCCCATCATGCACTGGGAGCTTAACCCAGAATTCCAATGGGCGGCGGGGACTGCGGGAACTGTGGGATACCACAGTGCACCGCTCCGACATTCGATGCTAGCCTCGGTACTGTGGACACACTCCACCGAATTCACACGCTTTAATGGGGACACACAAGACCAAATGTATAAAAGCGCTTCCGAAAATTCGAATAGAATAATTTCAAAATAATTTCGTACTGTAGACGTACCCTCAGAAACTCATCTCGCTGACGTCACCATCACCAGGAAAGAGACTTTACATGACAGGTAGGAAAGGGGGCAGGAGCCCAGCAGCTTGAAGGGCGGACCCGTGAGCCTGGAGAGGACCAAGTTAAGATCCCATTGTGGGACAGGGGTCCACACCTGTGGGAAGAGTCTCTTGAGGCCTCTCAATAATCTGACCGTCATGTCATGAGAAAACACTGTCTGACCCTGGAGGAGGATGGAAAGCGGAGATGGCCACGAGGTGCACTATAATGGAGGAATGTGCTAGACCTTGGTTCCTTAGGTGATGC